GTTGATTGTTTGGTGGTGTGTTGATTGTTTGGTGGGGCGTGTTGATTGTTTGGTGGTGCGTGTTGATTGTTTGGTGGCGCATGTTAATTGTTTGGTGGTGAGTGGGTGTGAGTGTGAGTGTGGGTGTGGGTGCGAGTGTGAGTGCAAGTGCGAGTGCAAGTGCGAGTGCAAGTGCGAGTGCAAGTGCGAGTGCAAGTGCGAGTGTGGGTGTGAGTGCAAGTGCGAGTGTGGGTGTGAGTGCAAGTGCGAGTGCAAGTGTGAGTGCAAGTGCGAGTGCAAGTGCGAGTGCAAGTGCGAGTGTCGATTGTTTGGTGATGAGGAGAGTGAGTGGGGGCAAATGGTCATTGTGACCTACGAGCCCATGGACACGCCATCGTTAGAGCCCACGAAGCCCGTCATGGGAATGTCCATGCCGAGGTACGGGTCCTGGTGGCCGTCGATGCCTTCCATGCCGGTCATGATGGGCCCGGTCATGCCGCCCGTGTTCATGGCGTGCGGGTCCATGATGACGACCGAGGGGCGGCGAGTGTTGGCGGCCGAGGCCATGTGCTGGGGGTGTGGGGACATTTGCTGGTGGTGCGGGCTGTAGTTCTGGTTGCGCGAGGGGTTCATGTGCTGGCGGGCGGCGGCCCAGGCCTGAGCCTGTGCGTGTGCCTGCGCCTGTGCCTGCGCGTGGGCGTGGGCCTGTATCGAGGCCTGTGCCTGCGCCTGGGAGACGTGCATCGGGGCCTGCATCGAGTGCAGCCGCTGGGCGGGGTGGATGGGCGTGGGCTGGAGCGGGATGCCGTGGTGGTGCGGCATGGAGAGGGGCTGCTGGTACTTGGCGTCGTCGTCGAGCCCGTCGTCGTCGTCGAGCCCATCATCGTCGTCGTCGTCGTCGCCCTCGGCGTCGACGTGGTCGCTCTCGCCGTTGACCGTGGCCGGGGCGGAGAAGGGCATGCCCGTGTCCATCTTGACGGGGCTCGGGGCCGAGGGCAGCTGCTGCTGGGCGGCCATGCCCGCGGCGGACGGCCTCGTCTCGCGCACGACGGGCCGCCACTTGTCGACAAGGCGGTCAAAGTCCCAGTTGCGGAAGTCGATGCTCTGCTTACTCAGCTCCTGTGCCGTCTCGGCGCCGAGGGCAATGGTGACGGGCGAGGGGTCCTGCCCGCGCACAGGCCAGCGCGCGGCCTTGAGGTAGTCCAGCTCGCGGCGGGCTTGCTCCAGCTGTGCGTCGGCGTGGCGGCGGGCGTCGGCGGCGCGGGCGTAGCAGCGCAGGACCTCAATCTGCCACAGCTCCTGGCGGGCGGGGTCTGGCTGGTGCTGCCAGTGGTTGTAGGCGTCGGCGATGTGGTTGAACAGGCGCTGCGGGTCGGGGTCGACCAGCGGCGGGGTGGGCAGCGGCGAGTGGGCGGCGGCGGCGGCGGCGGGCGAGGGGTCGGGCCCGGCGGGCGGGTAGACCTGGTTGATGTGGCGCTGGCGCTGGTGGGCCAGCAGGCGCTCGCGCACGCAGCGGTTGAGGGCGTCGAGCTGCTTCTGCGCGGGCGGCGCAATGGACCACGAGTCGGCCGTGGGGAAGGGCTGGGCCGAGAAGAGCGTCGTGGGCGCGGGCAGGACGCGCAGACACAGCGCGGGAAAGCTCAGCGTGTAGGGGTCAAAGTCGAAGAGGCCGCAGCCCGTGGCCTTTACGTTCGCGTCCCGCACGCTCCGCAGCAGCTCTCGCAGCGCCAGCTCGGCCGCCCGCGCCGTCTCGAGGTCGTGTCCACCGCGCTGCCGCCGGTCGAGGTTGTGCTGTCGCCGGTCGAGGTCGTGCTGTCGCTGGCCCAGCTCCTGCTTGCGCAGCTGGCGGCTCGCGCCCCGCCGCATCTCGGGTGCCCGCGAGCCCAGTCGCGCCGACAGCTGGCGGTTGCTGCTGCCGCCCCAGCTCACGTCCTTGAACTGGCCGCGCGTCTTGCCGAGGTCCACAGTCATCCCCAGCCCGTTGTCGCTGTTGCTGTCGTCGGCGTCCGGGCTCGGCACCAGCGTGCTGCTGCCCGCGCTGCCCACACTGTGCTTGCCGTGCGCCGGCGTGCTCGTGGTCGTGCCCCCGCCATGGCTGCTGCCCTCGCGCTTCCGGCTGATGCTGCCCTTGGCCTGCCGCCGTGTGATGCCGCCGCGCAGCTTGAGGATCTCGTCGACGGCGTGGATGCCGTCGGGCGCCTTGGGGTTCTTCGCGCGGATGTACAGGTCGAGGTGCCGCCCCAGGCTGCTCGACGTGAACGCCTGCTGGCAAAAGGGGCAGTTTTTGTCCTTGGGCGCCTTCAGCAGCGGCGCGTCGGCGGTGGAGCGCGGCGTGTCAATGGCGGCGTCAGCGTCGCCCATGGTAGGAGGCCGCTCGCGAACGCTGTCAGGGTCCCCAGGCGCAAGCTCACGCTTCGGTGCGAGCTTGTGCGTCGTTTCAAGGGCGCCCTGCATATGCTGTGCACGCAGCGCTACCACATGTTTACTCGGCGTAAACAACAGGCAGGAGGGATATTATGAACGTGTATGCCAAAGGAGAGTCGGCCGGTGCACCCACACGAGGCAAAGGACGCCTTGTACAGCTTCTGTGCTTGCTTGGCGCCCACTGGCAGCCCCTAATGACTTGCTCGACAAAGTCCCGCCGTCCAGAGCTCCATCCCCTGCCATTTGCGCCTGCGGATCGCGAGATGAGCTGTGCCGCCCCGCGGGAGCGCTAGAGAAGGCCGACGCTGTCAGGACCAGGGGCGCGGCGCCTCGCACCATGGCCGCCAGCGCGCCAGCGCGCCCGCGCATCTGTCCGGCTGCATCTGTCCAGCTGCATCTGTCCGGCTGCATCTGACCGGCTGCATCTGTCCGGCTGCATCTATGATCATCTGTTGTCCTGATCTATCCACCGCTCGTCCTGCCCAGCTTCGCTGCCGTCCGCCCTGCCAGCTCAGCGTACTGCTCCATCCCGCCCTCCAGCCTCTTCACCTGCCCTTTTGTGACGCGGTACACCGTCCCCGCGGCCCCCACCGCCGCCCCTGCCTCATCCCCTGACGATTCGCTTTCGCCAGCCTCGTCTTCGCCGCCAGCCCTGGGCGCTAGCTTGTGTGGCGACGCTCCCTCAACAACCGTTCTGTCCCACGTTAGCCTAAATCCCCCCAAAAAAAAGTCGGTCGTCGACATTTGTGCCCTACCTCATGAAGAACCGGTCGTGAGTGACCACCACCAGCGCCCCGTCGTAGTCTTTCAGCGCGAGCACGAGGCTCACAATCGTGTCCGCATCGAGATGCGTCGTCACCTCGTCCAGTATGAGCAGCTGCGGCGGCGGCCACAGCAGCTTCGCGAGCGCCACTCTGACCTTTTGCCCGCCCGAGAGCAGCACCAACGGCACCTCAGACACCGTCTGCCCGTGCAGTCCTAGGCTGCCTAGCATCTGCCGCGCCTCCTTCTCCTCCATCCCACCCCCCTCAGCCTCCATCCCACCCCCCTCAGCCTGCATCCCCCCCCCCTCAGCCTGCATCCCACGCCCCTCAGCCTGCATCACGTGCCGCAGCGCCGTCAGCTTTGCATCCGACGACGCCATTGCCGTCATCTCCTCGACCGAGTGCTGCGAGAAGCGGCCAATCTTAACTCGTGCATGTCTCGCTATCGTCCCAGACGTCGGTACCAGACTGCCTGCAATCAGCGAGACGAGTGTCGTCTTGCCCGACCCGTTCAGCCCAGCCAGACCCGTCCGTGTGCCGGCGTGTATCGTCAACGACACGTCCGTCAGCGTGGGAGCCTTTTCCCTGCCGGGGTACGCAAACACGACCTTCTCCATGCTCACCAGCGCCCCTGGGAACCTGAGCTCAGGCGGCTGCCGAGGAAATGACAGCTTGACAGGCGGGTCAAAGTCCGGTATCTCGATCTCAGCTCTGGCCGTTGTGTGGTACCCGCCAAGATCGCGGTTCAGTTTGAACCGCCCACCCTTGAGCCCAACCTCAACACCCCATCGCTCGTCGAGCTTCTTCTGCCTCGACGCAGCCTGCTTCAGCTTCTTGTCGTCGCCCTTGTCCTTTGCCGCTTTGATGCTCCCGGCGATGGACTTCTCCACGTGCTTCTTCTGCTTGTCTTTGGCATCCTTCATCTTGGTCAGGTACTGTATCTTCCTGTGCTTTTCTTTCTCGTAGAGGCTTAGGTTGCCGCGGAACGTCTCGAGCACCTGATTGCGTAGCAGGATCAGCTCCTCCGCCACGGCGTCGCCGAAATCGCGGTCGTGTGTGGTTATGAGCATCGTCGTCTTCGTCATGCTGTTGATACAGTCCTGCAGCCAGATAATCGAAGCCAAGTCTAGGAAGTTCGTCGGCTCGTCCAGCAGCAGCACATCGGCGTGCTGCGTCAGCGCGCATGCAAGATCGCACCTCGTCTGCCACCCTCCACTCAGCTGCGACCTGGGCTGGTCGATGCGGTCCTGCTTGAAACCCAAGCCGAGCAGCACCTTCCGCGCCCGCGCCTCCGCGGCTCCAGCATCCATGAGCTCGAGACTCGCCTGTACGCCAGACAACATGTCCGCAGCCGCCTGTGTATCCTCGCTCACTTGCTTCGCATCGACCTCGCCCTCCTCCTCGTCGACCTTGCTCTTCGCCTCCTCGCACCGCTCCTCGAGCCGGATCAGTTCTTTCCGCGCCAGCTTCCCGCGCGCACCGCTGCGTCGCTCGGCAACGCGGTGCGCCTCTCTCAGTCTGCACGCGAGGCGCTCGCTCTGGATGCGCCGGTACGCGCGCACCGGCGCCATGGCATCCCGGGCATTCTCAATCGCGTCGGCGAGCATGTCGGCTTCGCGCGTGCACCGCTCGCGCACGCGGTCGCTGCGGACGACATGCTGCAGCACTGTTTCTTCCTCCCTCTTCCGATCCGGTTCGGCGGCGTCGGCACCCTCGCGCGTCTGCCCAAGCAACAGAATCTGCGTGCTCGGCGGGATCCCGGGCACGAGGCCGTCGGCTATGGCTTTGAGCAGCGTGGATTTTCCCGTGCCGTTGCGGCCCGCGAGGAGGTAGTGCCGTGCCTCGACCAAGTGCAGCGTGGTGCGGGATAGCAGTTCCTTGTTCGCGACGGCGATGGAGAGGTCTCTGATCAGGATCTGGGCTGTTAGAGTGCATATGGTAGATGGTGGGAGTGGTGGGTGCGTACCTCGTTCGATGCGGGCGCGTCGACGGCATCGAGTGCGTATCGCGATTGCTGCGCGCTGACGGCTATGTGGCGGCTTCCTGGATGCCCTTCCACGGACGCAGTGTCCTTGCTTTTGCGCACCATTTGTGATAGCCCAAAAGCGGTCAAGTAGATACACTCGTCCCTCTCCCTCTAATCAAGCCTCATGCAATGCTGTTTCTCGCAGATTCAAACTCGGCGTCTTTCTTTCTTTGGTAGTCTAGCAGGATGTGTAAGCACACGTGGATTCTTCTGTAGTATTGAACTGGATCATGTCGTCCATGCGTGTGGTGCTCGGGCACTGTTTATACCGTCTGTTGCGCTAGTAACTATGCGGTAGCGGGTGGCTCGAAATGAGTCGAATTGCGCTTTTCCGTAATAGGAAGGGGTCGGACGGTCGAATGTGCAACGCTAGTTCTCTACCGCGTACGAAGTAAACCAGTTGCTCGGGAAGGCCTACTACACACTAGTATCTGCATTGTCCAGTCCTCTTTTTTGTTTTGTTTCTTGGAGCTTTTCAAGGTGGTACAACCTTCCATTCACCCTGTGTGTTTCTGTCTCGTCAAGGGAATGTCGGTTTGGTGGTGGTACTACCTAATCCCCACCTCGCACAACCACTGCACAGCCCGTCCAACGCCACACCTCGACGTCTCCCCCACCACCTCGACGTCTCCCCCACCACCCTCAATTCGCGTCTCATCTACAACTTTGATAGTGCATGTATCTATACTAAGGTGCGTCCCTAAGCGGAGAGACACACCATGTCCCAAGACAGGTTCGCGGTTCGGACCTTCGGCAACTCTCTTGTGAGAATTTACAGAGCAAACATGTACATGCGGTGTTTAGAGACTAATTCTTCTTTAGACCTACAGGCTCCAATAAGCATCGCTAAAGTGCTAGTCCTGCTGTTCATCGTTTCGCCGACGCTGTTGGACGACCCTTTAACAGTAACACCCCTGTCTTCTCACAATCTAGACAATCTCTCTAGACATCAGAGGCCTCAGGTAGAGGAGCGGTTAACAAAAACAATGTTCCTAGGCTTTGAAGATTACTTGAACGTAGGAGCGAGCTCGCTGAAAGCTCTGAAGAGCGGGGAGGAGAACCTTACAGCAAGACCTATGCCGGCAGGACTTACCAACCACGCTTGGCTTGCATTAGTGCGTCTACAAGGTAGTGGTAATTTACTGCAATGGATTAGGCGCCATGTCTGTTCTGTATTAGCCTTGAAACAGATGTGACCTATGCAGATAACTTTCTAGGAGTATCTTTTGTTGTCTGCAGAAGACCGTGCCCCGTGTTCTTCTATGCGCTGACTAAAAGATGCTTCCTATGCGCTGACTATAAGATGCTTCCTATGCGCTGACTAAAAGATGCTTCCTGTGCGCCTTAAATTGCTTGCTTAGAGCCAAAGGAATGCTATTTGGACACTAAGATGGTATTGTCTTCCTGCTGTTGATGGGTACCTGCATTAAGCAGCATCTGGACCACCTGCTTGTCGCCTCTAGCTGAAGCTGCGTACAGTGCATTGCCAAACCCTCCACCTTGCGCGTTGACCTTAGCGCCCGCGTTGAGCAGCGTATTGATCATCTCCTCAAAGCCTCCTTCTAAACTATGGTCTAATATCTTCACAACAACTAACCGCAACGCAGCTTGGGCGCTTGCTTTACACAACATCATAATGCTCCGAGAGCTAACACTAGATGCGGCGCTGAGGATACTGCAAGTCCGTTTGGCAAGGCCGCTCGCAAACGCCAAGCAGCAGGAAGGGGTTCCTCGTTTACAATAGATGGACATGAGATTTAAAAATGGGAAAAAATACCATGTGTGTGTCTACGACCTGGGAGGTTGTGGAGAGTTCTTCGAAGCCTTTTCGTGCGAGTTACTAACCCCACCTCTTCATCGACCAACAGCCGCAGCCTGGAAGTGATCCATACATTTTTCCAACGGTCGTACCACATTCGCAACAATTTCACCTCTCCAATTCTTTTGTGTGTCTGTTACGCCCGTGAAGCACCACTTGACAGCTGTCGCATAATCGTCTCCGCCTTCGCCGCTTACGCTGCTGGACCACCTTAACGCAGCCATTACGTCGAAAGCATGTTTGGTTGCAGCATCGGTGGTTGATGGGTGCTTCTTGCGCAGGTGATGGTCTTCCAACCGGCAACCAAAGCAGAGTTCTAGAAGAAGTATGCCTAGGGAGTAAAAGTTGCAGTCGTTCGTAGAGGGGTCAGCGGAGGGGAGTTGGGTGTGACTGTGTGGAAAACTCTGTCGGATGAAAGGCTCGCCGTACGGAACGATGGGGCTGTCGTCGTTGGAAGGGAAGAAAATGATATCCTCCTTGCAGAGACCAGTTCGTAGCCAGGGCGTAAATTGGAGTTGTCCTACCGATGAAGCAACAAGAAGAGCGATTAAATAGCGTTGGCGCCGCGAGATGTGGCCTGCAAAGTCATGGGAGAGGATGTGATCAAGTGTGATAGGAGCTTTTCCGACATCCTGCCTTTTTTGAATGACCGGATGAAGATGAAAGATGTCATTGTCATGACCAACGATGCCCATGCATACTCCGCAATCTTCATCGCCTAGCCGTTTACACAATTGGATGTTGTGATCAGTGAACAGGTCTACTTGGATCTCCGGTACAGTGGACGCAGGTGGTACGAAAATCACTCTCTTCCGGTTCGAAGTTGAAGGTGATGGTATAGAAGCCGGTGTGGGCAGGCTCGCTGGTCGGCGATGAAGTGGTAAGGATATGGCAGCTTCCGTCCCCTTCTGACGAAAGGAACAACCCAGCATACGGCCGCAGCGAATCTCTTTCCAGCGCCATGGCATCTTTCCGTGTTCCAAGGGAGCGACGAAGATGAGTATAATCTTGAAGCATACTTCTGTAAGTGTCCGATGCTCCAGTCCTAAGTTTGCGAAGTGGTACTGCTGACACGAGCACTGCCATGCGTTCTGCAGCGCCTGAAACAGCGAATGTGATTTCTTCGAAATCTTCTTGAATGCTGATTTCAGCTCGGAAGTGTGCTTGGTATACCCGGGTGCGACATCCTGGAGTGCAGAGACTCTGTCATTAGAGCTCAAGAGCTTCTCTAGACGCTCATTGCATTCTTTGAGTTGACCGAACAGCTCGTCTCTGGTCCTTTCCCCAATGCTGAACTTTGTTCGAAACAACTCATAGTCCAACCTGGCCCTAGCAGCAGAAAGCTTCGAAGGCTTTGCATATGGCTGAGGGCTTGACGATCGGCTGGAGCTCCGCCGGTTCGTTTCCGGCGGCAAGAGCTGGTCCTGTACAGTCTCTTTATCGAAACACAACTCTTTCTTAAGGTCTTGGGAGATTTCATTCATCTTAGTAATAGTGTCCTGGTACGATTGATATGACTCGTGCAGCCTGGATTCCAGTCGTTTTTGCAAAGCCACATCACCCCATCTTTGGCCACTTGGATCTGCAATGAGCTTCGCAACTTCATTCGCATCCGGAATGAGTGGTAACAGAAGCTCCTTGAGGTTGTTCTTGTATAGAATCTCGTGAAACTGGATATCACGCTGACATTTGGTGTATTCCTTCCGTATCCGCCAATAGAAGCCGCCGACTTTCGCGACTCCACGCCAGTGCTCGATACTGCTGATGAGCAGTGGAAAAGCGCCAAGGATGACACCTGCTACTTCTAGACCACTCATAGGGACGTAGAAATGATACCAACAAGTCGAATAATATAAGATGAGAAAGATATGGATGTTAGGAGTCGAAAGGCTGAAACGTAAAAAGGGCATTGTACGCGTTCGTTCCCCGCACTTTTCGCCCCCAAACGCAACTTCCGCCGTCTTGCGGCACCTCCACTACGCCATCGGCCGTCAGACTTCAAAGACCGTTTGCATCCGGATTATACCTACTAATCCTGTTGTCGGGTTCCCGATTTTCCTTCAACGTGACTTCCCGAAATCTGAGCACCAGGCCGCCCTTTGCTGTGAACCGAATTTACGATCACCTGATGGCAAGAGATGACGCTATCAGTATCGGACCAATGCCGCTCCTGTCTCGTCACCTTACAAGAAGTCATATCGATCCTGTCCCAATCGGATCACAACGATGGTCGTGTCAATCATGTCTAAGTCTGTGAGGAGCTGGACAGATTCAGTCTCTTTACTGGGAACATAGGAGCTCTTCATCGACCTGAGTCATCCATGTCCATCGAGTCACGACTACAAGAAGCCAACGATGTGCTCACTCATGTCTCAGGTCTCTTAGCTGACTTGAATGAAGTTGCTGTAGAGCTTCTCGAGATCGTTTCTGGTAAAAGAGAAGGCATGATCTCTATTGCTGACGAAGCTGAAGAAGAGAAGGGGGAAGACATTAGCGAAGTGAACGAACTTCGGGAAGATATCAGTGGGACCATCACCCGACTCTTTAGGATTTCGATCCTTATTCGGCAGGCTGCACCTACTGACCTTTTCGCCAAAGCTCTCAGTCGCAATCGATATCGCTTTAATGACCAATTTGACATTGCTCACGTTGGTGAGAAGTATCGCAAACTTGCCACAAAGGACTACGCCTGGCTTCGTCAACGGCTTGGACGAGCTATCACGCAAAGACGGCACTACCTCAGCTACATCCAGGATCACCATGAGAAACTAGGAAGCATGCTAAATCACCACGACAAGGTGGATAGTTCGGCCGCCAGGACCCAAGCTCCTATCGTTAAGCAGCCGCTAGCTTCCGAGCTAATGCTTGATACTACGAGCCATCCGTCCTTCCTCACCAAAGCCACCACTATTGCTGCCGAACGAATCACAACTCAGCTGCTTATTGTCGAAGAGTCAGACTCAGAGGACGATGTTCGTTCGTACACAACAATCTCCCGATCAATCGACAGCGATCATGAGTCATTTACCACCGTTCGCATCCCGAAGCTTGATGATTTGCGCATCGGTAACAAGAAAGAGTTCGAATGCCCCTTCTGCTTTCGAATCAAAAAGTTCAAGAGCGAGCGTATCTGGACAAAGCACGTCTTCTCAGACCTTCGTCCATACGTCTGCACATTCCCAGACTGCGATGCACCATATTTCGGAGACATCAACAAATGGTTTCAGCATGAGATGACGTTTCACCGCGTAGCCTACAAGTGCTTCCTCTGCCCAAACAAGGTCTACTGCCAGGAGACAAAATACATTTCTCATTTAAAGCGAGAGCATGCGAAGATACTAGATGGTGGTGGAGAGCAGCAAGGAAGAGACCTCGCTCGTAAGCCGCTCGCTCAGATTCCAGCAAGTGATTGCCCTTGCTGCTCAGATTGGGTTGATCGTTTGAAAGAGCGAATAATCCGATCGAGCGGATCAGCATCCAGCGAAATTCTGGCTGTCACTCCGACGGTATTCAAACGCCACCTCGCCGGCCATCTCGAGCAGCTCGCAATTTTCGCTGTGCCTGTCGGTGCTGCGACTGATGACGATAGCAACTCGAATGCTGTCGTAGAAGAGAGAAAGAGCGAGCGCACAGACGCATCGCAACTTTCAACTTTGACTTTCGCAAGCTTCCGAGGTGGTTTAGAGGATGCGATCCCAGGGATGGAAATAGAGCCATCTGCGAGCGAAGTTCCACTCGCCAATGTACAAGACACTGAAATCGAGGCAGAGACTAATAATGAGCCCATATTTTCTTCACTATCAGGAGCCATTGAGCTGGGAGAACAGGACAGAGCGGATCATTCAAGCACGTTGACTGGCATGGCCAACCTGCCGCTTATCTACAGGAACCAAGACCACAGGCAGGTAGTCGAGACACTGCTCGACCAGGGTGCCGACGTCAACGCACAGAGTGGAGAGTACGGCAACGCACTGCAGGCAGCTTCAGCA